TTCAATAGTACCTAATTTGCCGTATTGTGTTTTCCTGCTCTGGTGGACCGCGGATTAATCAAAAAAAGTTGAAGTAGATTAAAGTTAAATGGCATTTTGCGAGTATCCAAAATTTAAAAATCTCCGTTGATTGATCATGTTCCGAAGTAGCCGGCTGCATGGTAAATAAGTGAACAGCGGCCACTAATTAAGGCGCATTTGCTTGCTGGGCAGGCAAATATCAGCGATATCACGCAAAAGGCAAATAGATATGGACATGTTGGTCAGCAAAGTCCATTATGAAGGTCCCATCAATTACATGCAATTGCTTGTGCTGATGTATTGAGCAGAGGAACTGTGGAGATTTGCAATTGCAATCGACGCTTGTGCTAGTAAAAAATGTATCAGCTTTGGAAATTTCCACTAAAGTCCCTGATGATGGTGCCCAATTGAAACGTTCGGGTTTATAAAAGAAATCCTGCTCGTTCCGAAAAAAAACGTTTTTAAGCCCCGGGCTTAATTCGGCCGGGAGACACGGATTTTTGAACTTAGATTTACAATTTTGCACATGAAAAATGAACGAGTTTCGAAAATTTCCTATGGAATCCCTGGCGATGCTGGAAAGGTGAAATTTGCAGAATTTATGACAGAAACCTCACGCTTTCCAATGCAGTTATCCCCAAGTTTGTCTCTATATTTCGTCTGGATAAACGAATTTTCAAACTTAACGATTTGAACTTTTTAAAATTTCTGATGACGCTCAAGTCTCTAATGACAGAGAAGAACTGAAAATTACCAAATTTATTAAAATAACTGCACTTTCCAAACAAACATTTCAGTAAGTTTGCAACAAAAATCGAAAATGACCGACATTTCCTCACGTGGAAAATTAACAAGTTTTGACCTTTTTCTCTAAAAAATCTAATGCAGGAGGCAGGTTGAAACTTACAGCATTGAAAAAAAGACCTTAATCTTTGCAAAAAAATATATTTAGGTTTCCCTCTCGAGTTCTGCCAGAGATGCGAATTTTCAAACATAGAGCGGGCATTTTTTCTCATAAAAAATGAACCGGTTTCAAAAATTGCCTCTCAAATCCCTGATGATGGGCGCCACCTGAAACTGCCAGGCGTTATAGAAGAGACTTGGCCCTTTCGTATACCTGCATGTTGAAGTTTCTTTTTCAATTTATCTTGGACCTGGAATTTTGTCCAATCGACACTTTTAGCCATGAAAAATTTGACAATTTTCAAGTTCTAGTTTCCGTTGAAAATTGAAGCTTTCACAAAGTATTAATAAAAGAGACTCGGGCGTTTTTCAAAGGCGTTCTCTTCCATTGTTCCACAGAATTTCTTCAGTAGTTGCTAATTTTCAAACATGGAACGCAGCATTTTAGCTTATGAAAAATAAGGCGCCTTCAATTTTTTTTAAGTCCCTAATGGCGGCAGCGAATTGAAACTTTAGAGTTTCATAGAACAGGCCTTGCTCTTTCGGGTAAAATGCTCTTGAAGGACCCTTCTCAATTCGAAGATACGAATTTCCAAACTTCGATAGACACATTTCCGCATTTAAAATATTTCGAAATTCCCTGATCAAGAAGGGAAACTAAAATTTACCGCATTAGCAAAATGGACCTTGCTCTTTCTACCGAAGAATATCATAAGTTTCGTTGTTAATTCGGTCCAGAAATGCGAATTTTCAAGATTAGATTGACACTTGCACATGAAATATTAATGAGGTTTGAAAATTTCGTCTGGACGTGCTGAAGTGGTGGTGAGTTGAAGCTCTCAGGATTATAAAGAGACTCTGATCTTACAAAAAATTGCATTGAATGTGCTCTAGGCATTCGCAATTTCAAATGTAGGCAGAGCAGCACCTGTGCGCATGAAACTTAACTGGAATTTGGAGTATTATAGATACTCCAAATGTATGCCAAGGCTTAAAGCAGCAACAACGCTACACGTAAAAACTGATGATGGTGGAAAAATACACCGAAACGTATTTTAATTGATAAATAAAGACAATAAATGACTGAAACCTAGGAATTAATTTTGAATATTATCAATATAAGTTCAGCCATATATTATGGACCACAGTGTATCATAAACCCATATTGCTTAGGCAAGCATAATTTTTGTTTATCGCGAGAGCAACCTTTTTAGTCGTCGTCAAATCGCTGCTGATACAGAATCGTTTTCGTGTTCGGAAATCTACTTTTGTACTGTGTTGTTCTTTATCACTTATCAATATACTTTTATTCATACATTAAAAGTGTGTCCACTTTATTTCACCAACAGAAATCCACTCACCCGCTGATCCTTAGGACGGGTTTCCTGCCTTCGAGCC